GAGTTGCACGACACGATGTGGTACCCGACGGTGGCGGCCACCACAGTGCGGAGCAGGCAGGTCGTGAAGTACACATACAAAACACACAAACGGTGCAGCCATAACATGTGCTTGCAATCGGCGTCGTGCACTTCCAAATGCTGATCGTCGCCAGCATGAGAGCTGGTATGTTCAGCGAAGTTGGACGACGTGCCACGGAGCCGCACTGCTCGCTTACGGCTGCCGTACTGCCGCGGGGAAGGCCTGAGAGCGCCATTGGGCCCCGAGCTGCGGCAGGTGTCCGCGTGCGTGGACAGCGTGTCGTCGTCGTCCCAATCGTCGAAAGCACGACCAGCCATACCCACAGGGCCATCGACCGCGGGGGGTGGGTGGGACCCCACGGTGAGAAACCTATGCTCGCCCATGGCCTCCTTCTGGCAGTAGCCGAACCCCTCCTCGCTGGCCGCTGCCGACGGGGAGGCGGAGGAGGAAAAGGAACCACCGCTGCACTTCACGTCGGAGAACTGCACGGTGGGAGCGATGGAGCCCTCGAACTGCGGCCGACCCACACATGCGGCAGCACCAGCCTAATGAACACCGTCTGGATCAGCAGGTGGAGATCGCTCTCCGGGCCTTTGACTGTGCTGCACACGACGAAGGATACATGGGGCAGCGGTGACGTAGTCAAGCTTGGCGGCCGAGTGCAACGCCGCGTTGCGCCTGAGGACGTCGAGGTCGTCTGGCGTCTGCCACGCCAGCAGAGCAGCCAAAACAGGCGCCGCCGCCAGCAGCCTTCACCTCGTTCGCCACGCCAGGCACACCCAGCGCCTGCGACAGCTTTGTCAGCATGCCGTTGAGGTGGGTCACCTCTTCAGACAGCTTGATGATCGCCCTGTCTGCCGATGTGCACGCCCAGGCACGGCGAGCCTTGCGATCGGCAGCTGAGCGATGAACGTCATGACGATCAGAAGCTGGGCGCGCATCACCCGCTCCCTCCCGCACCATCTCCTCAAGCACAACGAGTGGAGCCTGCAACTTCAGGCCGGAGGGAACATGTCTATCCAGCTTGAGCCGCGGGACTGTCGCTCGCAGTTGAGCTGCTTCAGCCACAATGGCTACGGAGGAGGAGGACGAGGAGGAAGAGGTGGAGGAGGACGAGGTGGAACACGTGAAACCTCTCCATCCCTCTGCTTTCTGGCCTGTCGTCCTTGCTAGAGATTATGTGCTCCCGCTCTGTGGAAGCAACGCAATAGAGGAGGCGTGTGATGATGCTGCTGATGGTGATGATGCTGATGATCATGCTCATGATGATGCTGATGCTGCTGATGTTGATGCTTTAGATGATGATGTTGATGATGATGCCGATTATGATGGTAATGACGATGCTGATGCTGATGTTGATGGTAGTGATGATGAGACGATGATTACAATGAGGATGATGACGATGCTGATGATGCTGATGATGCTGATGATGAAGACGAATCTGAAGGCGACGATGATCATGCTGACGACGGCGATTATGATGGTGATGATGATGCTGATGCAGACGATCGTGCTGATGGTGATGATGCTGCGGCTGCTGCTGATTGATGCTGATGCTGATTTTGATGCTGATGCTGCTGATGATGATGGTAATGCTGATGATGACGAGGGTGCTGATGATGATAATGATGATGATGCTGACGACGATGACAATGATGATGGTGATGATGCTGATGGTGCTGCTGCTGATGGTGATGATGATGACGATGATGATGCGGGCGGTGGTGGTGATGATGATGCTGACGATGAAGGATGGCGGTGGTGATGATGATGACGATGATTATGATGTTGCTGATGCTGATGATCATCGTGATGACGATGATGACGATGTCGACCATGAGGATGCTGATGGTGATAATGATAAGACGACGAGGATGACGATGACGATACCGATGACGATTGTGGACACGACGATGGTGATGCTGATGATGCTGCTGATGATGATGCTAATGATGATGACGATGCTGATGATGCTGATGCTGATGAGGGTTGGTTTGATGATGCTGATGATGTTCGTCATGGTGATGGTGATGGTGATGCTGCTGATGATGATGCCGATGATGTTGATGATGACGCTGATGGTGGTGCTGCTGATGATGATGCTGATACTGATGATACTGATGGTGATGCTGCTGATGATGATGATACTGATGCTGATGATGCTGCTGATGCTGATGCTGACGAAGACGACGATACTGATGATGCTGATGCTGATGATGCTGCTGATGATGATGATGATGATGATGTTTCGGCTGCTGCTGCTGCTGATGATGCTGATGATGATGCTGGTGCGGATGATGATGATGATGATGATGATGATGATGATGACGATGATGATGATGATGATGATGATGATGTGATGATGATGATGATGATGATGATGATGGTGATGATGATGATGATGATGCTGATGATGATGATGATGATGATGATGATGGTGGTGGTGGTGGTGATGGTGATGCTGCTGATGATACTGATGATGATGATGATGATGAGGCAGAGAAGGAGGAGGAGGAGGAGGAGAAGGTGGAGAAGGATGATGATGATGATGATGATGATGATGATGATGATGAGGAGGATGAGGATGAGGATGAGGATGAGGATGAGGATGATGATGATGATGATGATGATGATGATGATGATGATGATGATGATGATGATGATGATGATGATGATGATCAGGAGGAGGAGGAGGAGGAGGAGGAGGAGGAGGAGGAGGAGGAGGAGGAGTGGAGCAGAGCTGGATAGCGCCGTCCGAGCCCGAACAGCACCTCGGAGATGGCCAGGGGCCGCGGACTTCAGATGAGGTCAAGGATGAAGGGCTCTGGGGTTCTAAAGGAGGGGGCCCTGATCGGCTTGTGCGCGGCGAGGCATGGGCGGCCGACGGCGCGCGATACGCCATCGAGGTGGCCGTGGGCACGGGCCGGACGTCGCGGGCGCTTCTCGGAGGGCGCGAGTGCCTGGAACCTTGCTTCCGAGTTCCGAGACTGCTGAGTCCCATCCACAGGTGTGTCTCCTCTGGCGGACGTGCCAGCGTTGGCGCCCTCCTTGTCCGGCGGACGGTGTTCTGCGCGGAGCCGGATAGGCGGACGTCAGGTGCTCTAGAAGTGATCGCAATCGATTCGCGGACATGCCTCCGCGTGTGAAGGCCCGAAGCAGGGGGAGAATTCGGGTCTGGAGCTTTTTCAGTGTCAGAGCTTGGTCGGCGTCCTCTTGGGGTAGACATTGCGGCAGGATGAATCGCCGTTCTAGTGGTATGGAAACCGAGGGGGGAGGTACTTCATCGGAGGGGTGGGGTTGAGCCACGTACATGGAAGCGCAGAGGATGAGCACCGGCCAACAGCCGACCGGCTGTGAAGGAACATGTGCGCCCACTTGGGTGTCACCTTAGAGCCAACCCGTAGGCGTGACGTCTGCGAGAATGACCTGCCCAGCGCAGGGGAACAGACCCGTGCAGCCACCCAGAGACCACCCGCGTCGAGCGAGCCGTGCTGCACGCTGCACGCTGCACCTGGGAGGCGGAGCGGATGGCCTGAGAGGAGAGGCAGACGCCCCCCTCCTCTCAGGCCATCCGCTCCGCCTCCCTCTCTCCTCCCCGCCTCCCTCTCCCTCCCTCCTTGACAACTACACAATATGAATACTGCTCTCCCTCTCCTCTGGTGGCGTCCAGGAAATGGCTGGCCCCCCTCCGCGTACTGGGCTTTTACGCAGGATGCCTGGGAAACGAGTTTTCGCTAGGGATTTGTTTCAAAATGCTGCTCTCGATGACTGGCTTCATTTTCGGGCCTCCGCTCGTTCCGAATCGTGCTCCCGCTGCAGCGCTGGCCTCATTTCCGCGCTTCCGCGCGTTCCGAATCGTGCTCCCGCTGCAGCGCTGGCCTCATTTCCGCGCTTCCGCTCGTTCCGAATCGTGCTCCCGCTGCAGCGCTGGCGTCATTAGTTCCAGTGCCATGCCACGGCATGGTTCCGGTCCGTCTAAATTGGCCTCAAAATCTAGAAAATGGCCTCCCGAAGAAGCCATCGGAAGTGATTACGCATTCGGTGACGATTCGTTGATTTTTTGGGTTGCAGAAGCCCCCCACTTTGGGGCGCTTCCACGCCATGCTATGCCGTGCTACGCGTTGATCTTCAACACCATGCTATGCCATGTAATGCTATGCCATGCTGCGACATCCGATTGCGCGAACAGAGATGAGATCTACGCCATGGCAACGGATGGGAGGGAGGGGTAGAACGTCAGACATGACGCGACCGCACCTAGCTTGCCCCTCCCCCTCCCCCATTCCCCCTCCAGCAGTTCCAATGCATGCTGCATGTCGGTATTTTTCAGACCTGCCACCAAGAGGCCATGGCCTCCCCCACCTGGTCTTAGCTAGGCCCAGACATATGTTCGTTGTGATGGTTCCTTCGTTCGTTCGTTTCTCCTCTCCCTCCCGCGCCCCCCCCCTCTCCCGCGCTCCTCCCCCCTCCACTCCGCGGCTGCCATCTGCCCTGCCCTCCGCCGCCCTACCCCCCCTCCGCCTCCCTTGCACTGCCTGGTCCAGACGGCGACTGCTGCTCCAGACAGGTATCAGAAGTCTTGATTTGCATGACTTCGCCTAGTGCAGGTCCTTGCATGAGTTCGCCTAGTGCAGGTCGACTTGTGCGTTGTTCCCGGTTTGCCTGGCTACCTTTTGATTCGCGATGCGGTTGTGTCGTCCGTGGTGCTTTGTGTGACAACAATTGGGATCAGAGTTTTTGGTCTTCGCGTAGCTCGCGTCAGAAGGAGGTGTGGTCCAAGCTCTGCAGAGGCTTCCATCCCAAGAGATCGGGGGGTGACTGTTGACTTGGACGGCACGGGCCGCCTACAGGTGGTTTAGTTGTTTGAGTTGCTATATAAGTAAGAACTCTTGCCGCCGCTCCACTCCTGCGTCCTGAGCTCTCCGGCCGGCGTGCCCCCTTCTCGGCCGCTGGGGCCCCCACTCCGCAGAGCCTGCCAGGCAAGCACCACAGAGAAGGCTGTCAGCGTGGTGACCTCCACGACCACAGCGCCCTTCACTGGGGCGGCCCAGCGGAAGCTGTTCCAGTTCGTCGAGAATCTGGACGACACGGTGGCCGTGAGGAACCAGCCCGTTCGGTGCAGTGGAGGCAGGGTTTGTACTCCGCTCCGCCAGGGGAAGACCAATAGGCTGCGATGTGGGGCAGTGGTATGGTGGATAGAGTCGTGCCCCCCTCCAACAGGGTCGGAGGAGGAGGAGAAGGAGGAAGTGCAGACTGATGATGATGATGCTGCTGATGATGCTGATGATGAGGATGACGATGATGATGAGGATGATGATGATAATGATGGTGATGATGATGATAATGAGGAGGAGGAGGAGGAGGCGGAGGAACTCATCTAACGCCTCCCGGACTTAGGCGAAATATTCTGCGGGGCGCGGAGGCGATGCATGAACCCCGCTCCTGCTTGGTGGGTGCCTCAGTTCGTGCCTTTCTTCTTCTTCTTCTTCTCCTCCCCCTCCTCTCCTCCTCCGCAGTTTTTCTCTTCTTCGTCCTGGTATGGGACCTTCGCTCCAGCCAAGTGAGCGTCTTCGCCGGCGCTTTTCGTTTCGGCCAGCCGGTCATTCCCTTCTCCTCCCAGGCCTCGTCGCCGCCTCGTCATCGCAACCGTCGTCTGCCTGCCAAGCTCTTGTACCAGTTCGTCGTCGTCGTTGTCGTCGTCGTCGTTGTCGTCGTCGTCGTTGTCGTCGTCGTCCTCCTCCTACTCTTCCTCCTCCCCACTCGTACTGTTCGGGTTCGGCATGCTTGAAGGCTCCATGCGGGAGGTCCTATCTCTGTCCTTTCCTTCATCGCGCGCCTTCTCTTTCAGTTGCACTGTCCTCAATCAACAGTCCAAGCTCGTCCTCCTCCTCCTCCTCCTCCTCCTCTCTCCTCCTCTTCCTCCTCCTCCTCCTCCTCCTCCTCCTCCTCTGACGCCTACCTCCGCAGTGTCGGCTTATTGCAAACATGTACATGTGTCTGGAGTGTGGGCAACTTCATCTTGGGTTAGCGACCTAACCTGTTGCCGTCTGGCGTGCCAGTCCCCCGAAGGCGATGACATGCGTCATTTACTCGAGTGCCTTGAGTTCTCTGACTGTCTCTCTCTCTCTCTCTATCTCTCTGTTGGCCCCCTCCCTCTCGCTCGCTTCTACCCTCCGCGTCCGGCTTAGGAGAAGGTGTTTTTCGAATTCGTTTATAGAAGATTTCAGCGGATGCCGCCCGAGTCTCTGATATCGGCCGTTTTGTTTATTGATGTGATTTGACTGTCACCGTGATCTCAACCATAATGCAACCACTCGTCGTAGCATAGTTTTGGCCATGAATGCGCGATCACATCAGCAAGTCAGACGGCGTTACGCGGTTGCTCCGCTGGTGGGCACGCCTCCTGTGGTGATCCCTCCAAATGGCGCCAACATCCTGCATCGTGCGACTCAGAATAGCCCCCCTCGAGGGGCAGTGGACCGGTCTCTTCCGTCCCTGCTTTTGATCGTCTGTTCCTTCCCGCGTAGTTGTGTCGCTCCTTCTCCCGCTTCCTCCGCCTGCAATCCCCCACAATTGCTTTGCATTTTTTCCGCGTTGGTGACTCGACGAGTTGGCGTGATGCGTGCTGAGTTTTTGCTACAGAGTAGTGCTGACAGGCTTCGGAGTGCAACGCCTCCGTGACGCGTCTGACTTCATGCTCTTCGATCTCCTCTTCGAGGCAGATATGGATACGGTCGCACTTCTTGTCGAGTTTCGGAACGGATCTCGCTGTCAGCACCCGTTTCTGTAACCAGGGCGTAGTTATTCAGGAAGGATGTGCACAGCTTTTGTTGACAGATTCGGAGCAGGGGACTGCGACGATCTGGCGCACTCTCTCTATACTGGCCGTTCGATGCTTCAAGTCGCAACAGACTTGATAGTTGAAGATCTTGAGCTCGGTGACGGTGCTCTGACTTCGTGTGCAGAGGACAGCCGATACAATGAGGTTGCAGAGGACTGGTGAGAAGACAGCACGATGGCCACCGAACCGACCCTGGAACGACTTCGAGGGCGCGAGGCCGCGTGCGTCCGTGCTTTTGCGGACATCGGCGCGCGTCTCGCCTTGCCTCGGCTTTCTCGTTGCCACATCGGTCGGCGGAGTTCGGGCCACTCGCAAGGCAGCTTATTGAGTTGGCTTGCTGTTTTGTCTCTCTCTCTCTCTCTCTCTCTTTCTCCTGTGCTTGTCCGTGGTGTGTGCGGTCTGGATGGTCCTCTTTAGGGGCAGCGAATTCCTCTTCCTGCTTTTCGTGTCATAGAACACATCATGCTTCTAGTATTTCGCAATTGCGGTCACGTGGCGGTGTGCCCGTCGACTAATCATGTGGTTTTCTCAGTCGGACATTTGCTGCCGCAGTGATATCAAGGTTGCATCGTTCGGGTCTAACTGGGAGCCAGATGAAACCAGCTCCTAGCTCTTGCATGCATGAGGTCAGGCAGCCACGGGCGAGCTGGTGCGGTGTATCTGACCAGTGGACCCTGGCGGAAGACCCCAGGCTACGCTCACCACATTCTTCTGACCTTCTTTTGAAGCGTACATCGTGTGCGCGTCCCTAGGCTCCCAAGTCGGCTTCTTGGCGTCCAAGTCCAGTCGCACACCGTGGGGTGAACAGTACCCTCCCTGCGATGGGCAAGCGCGCTTGTTTTTGGGGCGGTTGCCCTCGTGCTCTGCCCTTCCTGATCTGCCCTGCGGCATGACCCGCAAAAACACACGGTGCCTGCGTGAACCCCAAACAGTGCACCGGTGCAACTTACGCAATACGGAGTCCAACGTGAGGGGTGCAGTGTGCAGGGCCATGGGGCGTGGGACCCCACGGGGTGGGACCCCATGGAGTGGGATCCGGGGTGGGACCCCACGGAGTGGGATCCAATGTGGTGGTACCGTGTGGGACGGGACCCTCTCGGGTGGGGACCCCCATAGAGCGGGACCCCGAGTGGAGTGGCCCGATGCGGTCGGGACGCTAAGGAGTGGGGGCGGGGCCCAGCGGGACGGTGCCCGATGCAGTGGGGCTCCCTATGGGGCGGGGACCTTATGGAGTGGGACTTCATCGGGTGGGGCCTTTCTGGGGCGGAGCCAATTTTCGTGGGACTCTCTGGGGTGGAACTTCATGTTGTGGGGCCCTATCCTGTGGCGCCCTATCGTCTGGGGCCCCATCGTGCGGGACCCCATCGCGAGGGGCCTTCCGGTGTGGGCTTCCATCGTGGGGGGGCCCGAGACTTGCCGCGCTCTGCCAGAGCTCTTGTGAGCTGGGGACAACTTGGGGGAGCCAAGGGGGACCGTACAGCCGTGCGCCGCACACCGCCGCAGGCCCCGCCGGTGGAGGGCCAGCTCGTTACAGCGCGAGTCGGAGGCGACGATCAGGGCCAATAGCCCAGGAGAGAGCAGTACATGTAACCAGGGTCGCCGATGGTCCATGCCTTCGGCGAGGCTTCCGGGCGGATGCGTGTAATGCTCGCGTCTGGGCTATTCGCCCCTATCGTCGCCACCGAGCGAGCAGCATACCCTCTGCTGCAAGCACCGCTCCCGGGAGCTGCTAGCACACGTGCGCTCCTTGGCTGGCTGCCCGTTCCGCCTTCGCTGGCAGGCTGGGAGTCGCTGCGTCTCCTGGTCTGCCCCCGTTGCCGCTGCCATGCCCGGTTACCGGTTACCGACCACCGCGCGGCAAGCATGCTCCAGTCAACGTGCAAGTGCTCGGCATTGAGATTGAGATCCTCCCGCCTTTTCGCGCTACCAAGGACTTCGGGCGACAGCTACGATACTCAACACCTCATGCAGCCGAAGTAGAACACCGCATTGCCACAGCATGGCGGAAATTCCACGCCTTGAAACAGGAACTAATTGGGCCCACATATTCACAATCCGACCGACTACGTCTCTTCAACGGAACTATCACACCTGCTACCTTGTACGGTTGCGAAGCTTGGGCGCTAACAGCTGAATTGGAAAACCGTCTCCAGCGAACACAGCGACAAATGCTTCGCATGCTTGTGCGAGTACCGAGGCGTTTATCCGCACAGACCACTACACACGCAACGCAGAAACCACCCGAAAATCAAACAAGCAGCCAAAACGATCACCAGAACCTCGACAGCGACGACGATGACGATGGTTGTGATGTGGACAGTGCGCAGCCAGAACCACCAGCAGATGATGAGGAAGAAACGGCCGAACATGTGGAACTTTGGGTAGAATTGATTAAGAGGGCGGCACAACAAAAAAACGAAACGACAACCACCAGACTACGTATCAACAGTTGGGCGTCCACCGTGCGCCAACGACAATGGCAGTGGATACAGAAGTTGAGTGCTACAGGCAAGCGGGAATGGACGCGGCAAGTGATCCAGTGGAGCCCACAACGCGAACCAGTCTACACGGCGAAGCGCAAAGCTGGACGACCCAAAACCAGATGGGTTGATGACGTAAGGAAGTATATTGGGCACGTTTTGGGGCGTGAGGTTGGGATTGGGTAGTCTACGTGTAACATCAACTGAAGATTGGGATACACTGGTTTCGCCCGACACCACGACTGAGCGGGCCAAGCGGATAGCCTCTCATCTCCTCCTCTCTTCAACGTCTGCATTGCGAGGGGCACCAGCAGCAGAAAACTGATTGGTTCTAGTTTGTTGCGCCCGCCCGGGGGGGGACAAATCCTGCCCCCCTCGCATATTGTACATCTGATCGCAACTATTGGCGCATCCGCGCCGCGCAGCTCGCCGACTCCTGCGCCAACCAACCCGCAGCCCCCCGCGCCGACCAGCTCGCCGACCCACGCGCCGACCAGTTCGCCGACTCCCGCACCGACCAGCTCGCCGACTCCAGCGCCGACCAGATCGAGGGCGGCGGCCGTGACAAGCCCGAGGGCCGGCCAAGTCACCGACTCCTGCGCCAACCAGCTCGCCGACTCCTCCGCCGACCAGCTCACCGACTCCCTCGCCGACCAGCCCGCCGACTCCAGCGCCGACCAGATAGAGAGCGGAAGCCGTGACAAACCCGAGGGCCGACCAAGCCACCGATGTTTGCGCCAACCAGCTCGCCGATTCCCTCGCCGACCAGCTCAGCGACTCCTTCACCGACCAGCTCGCCGACTCCAACGCCGACCAGATCGACGGCGGAAGCCGTGACAAACCCGAAGGCCGGCCAAACCACCGACTCCCGCGCCAACCAGCTTGCCGACTCCCGCGCCGACCAGCTCACCGACTCCTTCGCCGACCAGCTCGCCGACCCCAGCGCCGACCGGATCGAGGGCGGAAACCGTGACAAACCCGAGGGCCGGCCAAGCCACCGACTCCCTCACCGACCAGCTCACCGAGTCCCGCGCCGACCAGCTCGCCGACACGGTCGCTGACTCCAGCGCCGACCAGATCGAGGGTGGAAGCCTGGGCAAACCCGAGGGCGGAAACCGTGACAAGCCCGGGGGCGGAAACCAGGACAAGCCCGAGGGCGGAAACCGTGACGTCGACGCTGGGCGGCGCGACCGCGACGGCTCCGACGCCAGCTCCGACTTCGGATCCGACTGCCGCTAGGACGCCGGCCCCGACTCCTGCTCCGACCCCTGCGCCAACGACCACTCCACAGGCAGGTCCGACACTGGCTCCGTCGGCAGCTTTGACTCCTCTTCCGATGGCGGCTCCGACTCCCTACCACTGCCTGCTCTGGCTCCGACTCCATCCCTGACACCTGCGCCAATTCCGAATCCAGCTCCATCCCCCCTTCCGACCCCTGCTATGACCCCGGCTCCGGCTCCCGCGCCTAGGGGGATATGACCGTTCAGACTGCCACGGTGAGTCTTTTGTCTGGTGAGTCCTTTATGCAAGATGCAGACCGTTCTCGTGGGAACTACCCGTGGCAAAGCCGTGCTTGCGTCGGTCGACGGATCGACGCCGAGCGCGACTCCCAGTCCAACGCCAGCACCGACTCCAGATTGCTCAGCATTGCGGCCACAATTACCGGCACCATCCACCGACTCCATCAGACGCGGGTGAGCGGGGCAAGCGACACGTCGTTGACGACGACCCCGGTAATGTCGCAGGCGCCTGCGCCAACACCGTCGCCAGCGCCGACGCCGACGCTGATGTCGGCGCCTACGATGGCACCATCGCCGGCGCCTGCGCCAACAGATTCGCCAGCACCGACGCCGACGCCGACGTCTTATCCATCTATAGGTCTCTAGCTCATCCGACAGGTGCGGGGGCTTCGAACTGTGAGGGCCTCTGCGTGTGTGCTGCGTCTAGCGAAGTAGATCCGAGGTGTCTTCCCCTCCCTCTTCCCTCCCCTTCCGTCCCTTTCCGTTTGGCGCCCCCAGTGGTCCTCTATGCACGTGTCTGATGTTTGAGGTGCTCTTTGTAGTTTTTTCGCGATCCAGCCCGCATTCACTCTGCGACTCTCCGGACTTGCATGTGTGGCGTCGGCTGCCCTCGCAGCCGCCTGACCGTTCGGTCAGCCGCGTTGTGTGGCTTCGGCCCGCCGCCACAATCTAACTTTCAATCACACCCACTTCACTTGACTAGTAACCTTGTGCTGTAGTTGTCTGGTGCCTCCCTCCCTTGCCCTCCTCTCCTCTCGTTCCTTCTTCTTGTCTCTCCTTTCCGTCTTCGCTGCATGTACTGTCGAATTATGCTAGTTTCGGTGGCTTGGGCCGCCCATGGAGGCAGCCGTGCTCTCCTGCGGGGCAGGAGGTGCCGTGCTCCACAATACCCCATCAGTTTGTTTGCTGGCTTGCAGGTTCCTTGTCCCCCGTTCCCCTGCTGCGGCGCGCTGCCTGCTGTGGTCTCCCTCCTTCTGCTCTGCTGCCCCTCCCTCGCTCGCTCTCCTGCTCCTCTCCGTGCTGCTCTTGGCTCTTCCTCCTTCCTCCTGCTGCCTGCTCCCTCTCCCTGCTCGTGCTGCTGCTCTCCACGCGCGGCGCTCAGTTTATCGTGGCGCCTGTCGGGCCCAGGATGTCTGGAATCGTCCTGTGCCGGCGGCCACGGTGCGCCCTTCTCGCGGTGAGTTCGATGCTCCCGCGTCTCTGCTGGGACGAGGGTGAGTGTGCATGAACCTTGCCGGTCTTATGTCAGGGGGGGGGGAAAATCTTTCTTGTCCTCCTCCTCTAAGGTTTTCTATGTTGTGAAGATCGCCACGCTGAGCGGCGCTCTGGCGCCACACGCGCAGCACCCTTGACGGTGCCCACGCGCGGGAGTGTCTGTTTGTCTGTCTGTCTGTCTGTCTGTCTGTCTGTCTGTCTGTCTGTCTGTCTGTCTGTCTGTCTGTCTGTCTGTCTGTCTTTATGCCTGGGGTTCGTTTTGCGACGGAGCTCGGTGCTGATGCTTGTGAGAGTGGTGCTCAGGGCCGCAGCCTTTGGAGAGAGTGGCGCTCTCCAGGGGCACGGGCGGGGGCGCATCCGCGACCCCTCCGCGTTTCGGCTCCTTCCTCTTCCTCTTTCTCCTCCTCCTCCTTCTCCTCCTCCTCCTCCTCTTCCTTCTCCTCCTCTTCCTCCTCCTCCTTTTCTGTTTCCTCACTCTCCGTCCCTCCCCACGGCGCCCGCTGGGCGGCTCGCGGCAGTCGCTCGACTACAGTCGGTTCCACAGGGCAGGGTGCGTGGCCTTCCCGTCGTCACGGGGGGCCCTGATGTCCAGGGATGACGACCGGGCTATCCTGAACGAGTTCTCCCGCGAGGATTTCATCCAGAAGAACGTTCTTCCAGACGAGTTAGTCCAGATGAAATTGTTTGGTCTGGACAATTTTGTCCCGATCATTTTCTTTGCGGCTGATATCGTCTCTGGATGAATTCGTCTTCGGCTCGTCATCGGACGAGTTCGTCCGGAAGAAGTTGTCCAGATGAGGTTGTCCGGGTCAATTTGTCTCGGATGGATCCGTTCGGATGAGACGGTTTCGGATGAAACCGTAGGGTTTCCCAGGGAAGTCAGAGGCGTTTGGGCAGATCCCGCGAGCGACGAAGATGTCCATGTCCAGGCCCTCGCGGGCTGGATGCCGGGCCGTGGTCCCACGGATGCGCTTTGCGTGGGGGGCCCGTCCGTGGGGTCGCGGCCGAGGAGTCATGACCGCGGGGCCGTGGATATGGATACAGTCGAGCATTTGATGAAGAAACCTCCTCCCCAAAATTTGGGCCAGTGTTTTTTAACAAACTTGCTGGGAAGGTGGCCCAGTTTCTTGGGCGCGTTCGCCCCTTTCAGTGGGAACAGCAGGAACCGGCCCAGGCTTGTTTCCAGAAGCTTCAGGGAGGTGGCGCAGATTTCTTACGCGATAGTGCCCAACCATCTTGTGGTGTTGGGTCTTTGTTTTGAAGAGACAGCGCCCCGCGTCTCCTGTCCTTCCTCCTCCCCCCCGTCCCTCTCCCAACCCAGTACAGCGCTGCGTGGCTCCATGGGGGGCCCCATCGAAGGCCCAAGTGGCTGTGATTGCATGCGTCCGCGCCACCCAGTACAACGTTTCGTGGCCGCAGAGGGAACTCCACCGAATGCCCCAGTGGCTGTGTTCACATGCGTCCGCGCTACCCAGCACAGCCCTGCGTGGCCCCATAGAGGGCCCCACCAAAAGCCCCAGTGGCTGTGATCGCATGCGTCCGCGATACCCAGTACACTGTTTCGTGGCCACATAGGGAGCTCCACCGAAGGCACCAGTGGGTGTGATCACATGCGTCCGCGCCACCCAGTACAGCGCTTCGTGGCCATATAGGGAGCTTCACCAAAGGCCCCAGTGGCTGTGATCGCATGTGTTCGAGCCACCCAGCACAGCGTTTCGTGGCCCAAAGGGATCTTCACCGAAGGCCCCGTGGCTGTGATCGCATGCGTTCGCGGCACCCAGTGCAGCGTTTCGTGGCCCATAGGAATCTTCACCGAAGGTCCCAGTGGCTGTGATCACATGCGCCCGCGCTTCCCAGTACAGCGCTTCGTGGCCGCAAAGGGATCTCACACCCTCACGCGCTTCGTGGCCGCATAGGGAGCTCCACCGAAGGCCTCTGTGGCGACGTTCGCACTTGCGTCCCCCCCGCTCATTTCGGCAGCCCCATCGGGAGCTCCACCGAAGGCCCTACTGGCGAAGTTCGCATGACGGCCCCGCTCCATTTCGGCACACCCCTCACTCGTTTCGTGGCCCCATAAGCGGGGGGGGTATACCTGAGGCCCCAGTGGCAGAGCTCGCATGGTGGCCCCGCCGCATTTCGGCATACCCTTTACACGCTGCGTGAGCCCATAAGGAGATCCACCGAAATCGATACCCACAACGGCGATACTCACAACTGCTTATGGTTGGGCCCTTCGCCATGATAAGTTTCTGGATCATCTCTTCGGTTGTAACATGTTACCCGCCCGCGAAGATCGAGAAGCAAGCGATATGCAGCCCAAGCTGTTGATTCAGAATGCCTCGTTCCATGGACCCCTGGATGCTCCGTATAGCAGGAAGGCCACACAACAGGACCAGCAATGGTGGCTACATCAGCGTATCCGATGGCGACAACCTTGGCACCGCCCCTGCGATCGGCAAGCACGAGTCTTTCAAGCTCCAGGGGAAGGGTACGGACACTATTCACTCGGCGCTGCGCAGAACGGGGTGGCGCGAGAGGAGGTGCCTTTTGAAGCAGGCAGGGTGCTTCTCGGAAGCCCTTCAGCCATGCAGAGGCCTTCGTGGAAGCCCCCGAGCTTTTCTAAGAATCCCCACTGCCTTCTTGGAACGCTGGCCCCCCGTCTCACCCCCTTTGGCGCGCAGCCAGCTTACTGCTCGCTGCTCGAATGGGCTTCCATCCGCTGCCAGACACTTGGAAGCAGTCTCCCTGCTCCGGGTCTCGGCGCCAGGTGACTTGCCTTGTCGGAGGGAGCCACGGTTGGCATCCCAGCCCCCAACAAGACATTGGGCACGTTTTCGCACATGCCCCAAAAGGACCCCAGGAGGGCTCCCAGCACAACAAGAGGCCCCCGAAGGGCCCCAAAGATGGCCCCCGCAGGGCCACGGCATACCGGCAGCACGTTTTAGAAAGTGGCGAAGCAGAATCAAGAGCCCCCCCCCGCAGATCCAAGGCTATGGCCAATGCGGATTTTGATCCAGGGCTCGTTCTTCTCTCCGCGGTTGGCCAGGGGCGGCCACCAGGCCAGGCTGCCAGCATGGGGGTAGGGAAAGGGGAGGAAAGGATTCTCGAGGACGAGCTGATCCCCTGAACGACATGCGCCCAGAGGGCTGGTGGGACTCAAGCCCCTTACCAGCATGCCAAATCCGACGCTGGTGGTCATAGCTGCAAAGTACTCGCGCTGCCCCAGGGTCGCTCAGGCCCAGCATGGAGAACGGGTTTATTAGCCAGTGGAGTGACCCAGGAACCGATTAGCCTGCGACTCACCTGAGCTGCATCGGACCTGCGTTGCAAGAGAACCGAGCTGGAGACATCGCGCAGGAATATCCCACAACACCACGCATACGTCGGCTTCATAAGCCAGTGGGCAAAATGAGGCCATGGAGCCAGCGCGTGTATCCAAAGAAGAAGAAGAAGAAGAAGGAAACTGAGGCGCAGGCGGCGACAGCGTATACTTTCGGAGGTCCGCGCCGATTTCATGGGTCGGCGCTGGACCCCGCTGGCGGCGCTTCTAGCGACACCCCTGGCGCGCTTCGAGGGGGGTCCAGCGCCGACCCAAAAAATCTGCCCAGACGTCCAAGGTTTATGGGCATGCAAGTTTCTGGTTCTTCTCACTCATCAACTCTGGGGGGGGGCCTTCGCTGAGACTATGCCAGTTAGACTTCAGACCCTTGGTAATTTCTTATCTGATGAGGGCGGCGGTGATATCCATGGCCATGCCTCTGTTGGTCTTCCACCGCCGCCGCTGTCGTCGTCGTCGTCCTGAATTTCTTAGCCGATGGTTCCTTATCCAATGCCCGCACCGTGGCCTGCCATCCAACAGCTAATGTGCGAAGAGGCAGTCGTGCGGCGGCGGGCGGTTTACCGAAAGACGGCTCCGTCTTCTGCCGGCGTTGGTGGCAGAGCAGCGGTGGGCCCGCGTGCCGGTTGAGGGCGGGGGAGCCCGCAGGGAGAGGAGCAGCATTTGGCCGAAGTCTCCACGCTTTCTGGTGCACCTCCTTGCTGCGGGACGAGGGTGGGTGTGATCTGTGGAGCATCAGAGCAGCAGGTTCAGGCAGGACTGTCCTTCATTCCACTGCTTATCTGGCGTTGCTTGTCTGGCCATGCTCGCGCGTGCGCGTGCCCGACTGACGGCACGACCGTTGCGCACGCCCAGCGGCTTGCCCACCCCAAACCTGGCCGAACAATAGCAAACGACATGACTAGCATGGTGCCCGGCCCCTGTCAGTCGACGACATATGTGGCCGAAACAGTAGCGTGACCGAAATTGTGAACGAAATTGAAGGTAGTTTTGGTTTCGAACCTCGAACTTCGGTCTTACCCTGGCGCGTTCGGAAAAGTTCGGGAGCTGGTTCCGGTCACACTGGTGGAGGTTTTCGGTCACGGTTTCGGTCATAACGTCCCCCCGATAGAGACGAGGCTGCGTGACGAATACAAGCATTCGGAGGTCCGTACGGATTTCCTGGGTCGGCTGGCCCCCCCTGGCATCGCGTCTGGCACCGCCCCTGGCGGGCTTCGCGCGCCAGGGAAGGGGGGCCAGCACCGACGCAAGAAATATCTGCGCGGGCCTCCGAAAGTTTCTTCTCATGTCGTTCTTGCTTTCAAGGAGTGGGGTAGGGGGCAGGGGAGGAGTGAGGAAGGAGAAGGAGAAGGAGGGGGAGAAGCAGGTCGGAGGGACGGGCAACCACAAGAGTGGCCCAGGCCGCCTCGTTGAGGGAGGCCGTCCGAGGTATCTTGGGCATCGTCGAGGGCGGGCCTATAGCTGCCCTCCTAAACATCTCTCCTCCCCCTCCTCCCCCCTCCTCCCCCCTCCTGTCTCCTCCTCCCTTTCGCCTCCGTCCTTGGTTTTATCTTCTCCTCCTCTCTCCCTCATTCTCCCACTGCTCTTCCTATCCTCTTTGTCCTCCTCCTCCTGATCCTCATGCTCCTCCTCTTCCTCCTCCTCCTTCTGTCTCCTCCTCCTCCTCCTCCTCCTCCTCAGCCTGTCTCTTTCCCTCTCCCCCTCCTCTTCCTCTCACTCCCCCGCCTCTCTCCTTCTCGTCTTCCTCCCTCTCCCCTCACGTCTGCTCATTCCCCCCCTTCTAGCGGGCCACGTTACCGGTTTGTGGCCTCATTCTCGCCACGATGAACTATCCGACTCTCCCAGCTCATCTTCACTACGGCATCCGAGTCACAGCCAGCATCGGGTGTCACATCCCCACTATCTTCTGCCATCTGGGCCTCTTTCACGCCAGAGTTGCTCCCGACAGGCACATCAATCGCCAAGGTGCATAGCCTTGCCTCACGGCTCGAAGATTCACTTAAGACCAGTCCCCAGCGTCTCACCCAGCTTTCCACGCATGGACCTCCCACTGCGTGCAGTGGAGTTTTCTCTAGTTTGTTCTCATCGCGACCCCAACGAGACTTCGTTTTCCCCACAGTGCACCTGCCAACAGCAAAGGAGACAGGCGACGACTGTGACAAGGACGACGTAGGACGACGAGGGTAGGAATCTGGCGAGGGAGAGAGACGATGAGGGCAGGCTCATCGACCACCCTGACGGTACCATCAGCCTGGAGAGTTGGGCTGGTTCATTCATCGCGGCCAAGGGCGATGAAGTCAAGCTCGCCAAGAAGAAGGGCAAATTTGAGGATTCTCTTTGGACTACGCCCCATTGTCAGCCAAGAGTGGGCGCCAAACTAGTCAGGCTAGAGAAACCCCCGCCCTCCGCAGGTAGAAGACACCTCTCGCTGGGGGTGGGGTCGGGGTGGGGGTGGGGTCGGGGTGTGGGGGGGTGGGGCGGAGGATGAGGAGGGACGAGGAAGGGAGAACGGGGGGGTGATCATGGAGGTGCGAGGCGGATTGGAATGGGGAGCAGCATTGGGCGGGTTCGGCTCCCGTTAGCCGTTCGTGATCAACACGCTCTCCCCGACCAGGGGACTTCCTCCGTGGCGCCCGTGGCGGCATGCCCGCCCCTGCGATGGCTTTCCTCCTCCTCCTCCTCCTCCGCTTTCTCCTCCTCCAAGTTTGCCAAGTATGCTGGAGCATATGTCGGGCAATTTCTGGCCCGCCGGCGGGGTGGATACAGAGTCGTTGCAACGCCGCACCAACCGCCCATGGCCTGGCGGGCCGCAGGCGCTCCTGGGCCGTGCTCACCCCCACCGACTGCCCAGCCGGCGCAGGCCGCGCGGCGCGCCGCTGGGGCCCAGACCGTCCGCGACGGACAACTCCTTCCCTCGCAGCTTCTCGGAGGAGGAGAGGGTACCGTTTCCCCTGTTCGGGGCTCCTGGGAGGCCCTCGTCGCCATCGGTGGACTCGCCTCGAAGTTCTTGTCAGAACGCTCCTTGGGAGAGGTCTGGGGAGTAGCGGTATCGGTACCTTTTGGTTTCATCAGCTTCACTTCCTGCTCCTCCTCCTCCTGCTCCTCTTCCTCCTCGTTCTCATCGTCGACCCACCAGCTCCTCATTCTGAGTTGGGTTCTGTTCTGTGGAGATTGCGGCTCGTTCTGTGTCACGAGTGTGCGTATTTCGAAGTCCCCATGCTCCCCCCCTGCTGACCCCACTCCCAAAGAATTGGAGGCCCTGAGCAGACTGAGTAGGGGGCTCACCCCCAAAGTCGGGAAACCGTGGCCAGGCTTGCACTTGGGCACCGCATCATTTGCTCCACTGTTTTACTGATCGTTCTCATCATTATCATCCTTCTCCTGCTCTCCTGCCTCTCCCGCTCCCCCCTCTCGTCGTCGTCGTCGTCGTCCTCCTCCTCCTCCTCCTCCTCCTCCTCCTCCTCATCCTCCTTCTCCTTCTCCTTCTCCCTCTCCTCCTACCCCTCCTCTTTCCCCCCTCCCCCCTGCGATGGGACCAGGGGGGGGGGGGAAGGCCCGTCAAGGACGGGCCTCGGGTTCCCTCGTGCTGACAGACCCTCGTCGCCGAGAGGTGCCGCCAGCCATCTTCCCGGCGCCGCGCCGTCCGCCAGCGTGAGCCGACTGAGGCTTCCCTTCGGGCCGCACAAGCGGGGTGACGCTCCCGGGCAACCACGGTGCCCACTCTCCCTCCTCATCCTCCTCGTAGTCCCCCTCCTCCTCTTCCTCTTCCCCCCGTCTGCCCGTGTCCCGACTCTGGGGCCATTGCTAGTTTTTGCATCCGGCATTGCAGAGGTTCGTCGCGCTTCATTCACCTCAGCTTGCCTCCTTCTCCTCCCGAAATTGCGAGGAACAAGCAAACAGGGTGACGCTCCAAGAAGCTGAAGAAGATCGAGCAGGAGGACGGCGCCGTCATGCTCGAGACCGCCGATGGCGAGCACGTCAGCAGCGAGGCGTTCTCTGACGAGCGGGGCCGCTTCGCCGTCTACGCCCGGGAGGACGGCCCCCTGGGTGGGGGAGCCAGGGGCAACGTCACGGGGGGACTTGTGCAGGGGGGGATGCATCGACCCCCAATCACCCATTGACCGCCACTAGGGCCCCGATAGCCCGCCCCGCCGAGGAACATGCGGTTTCGCGATCGGGGGCTTATCGCCGGTCTATCGGCGATGTATCGCTGATTTCAGTGCTCCGCACCTTGGATGAGAAGGATGGAGGGTCAACTGCCTCTTGTCGGGGGTGTGCTCGCCCACGCCTCAGGCTCGCTGATAGTGTTGCTTGCCCTAGTCATAAAATGCACCTCGCAGATGTACGAGCTCTTCCATTTAAGCCGCGGCATTTTGCCTAGTGGGAGGAGGTGGCAGCGGGCCCGCAGGAGCAGGGGTCAACGTATGTTGGGGCATCCTCTCAAGTGTTTGAATCGCGATCCTCTGTTTTGCAAGCTGCTCTCCCCTGGTACGCGCTCCGTGGCACAATGTTGCAACCCTATGTGACATGGAGGTCGGGTGCAGCAGCATGAAGCAGTGAAATGGCTTCCTTGTGCACCTCTTTGGCTTTAGGGAATCCGTCATTCCCTTGTTCTGTTCCTCCTGTAGTATAGCTTAGCGTCACGGCTTGCTAGCTTTCAGCAGCGTGGTACCTAGGGACAGTCGACTGGGACACATGACGGCAGTGGTGTGACCCATGGTTCAGCCTGTATTGATGGAACCGATCCCCTCCTCTTGTTTTTGTTACTTTCGTATTACCTCCTCGATTCTCCCCTCTCCCTTCTCTGATCTGCCCGTCTCTGCCTCCCCCATTCTTCTTATTATTATTAGTATTAGTATTATTCTTCGTCTAATGAATATTATTATTAGGTTTCGTATTTCTCCACATCCTCCTCCTCCTTCCTCGTCCTCTTTCTGCGGTACCCGCATTGCCATCACACCAGGAGAGCGAGGACGTGAACCAAGACCCAGGAAAGTCGATACCTGCTCCTCCCATCTTTCCTCCCTCCTCGTTCTCCTCCCTCCTTCTTGCCTGCCGCCTTCCCTTGTGTTTCTTTGTAATTTTATGTATCCTCCTCCTCCTCCTCCAATTTCCCTTCCTTCTCCTTCCCTGCCCCATTCTCAGTCATTTTTCTGCTCTGCTCCCCGTTCTACCTCCTCTTCGTCCTGCTCCCTCGTTCCCTTTCGCATCCTCCTCCTAGCCCTACCCCCCCCCCTCCTCCTCCTCCTCCTCCTCCTCCTCCTCCTCCTCCTCCTCCTCCTCCTCCGCCTCCTCCTCCTCCTCCTCCCCATGTTTCTCTTCCTCCGCCTTCACCCCTTCCCCCACTGCCATTATATCCCACTGTGTCGCGCTCTCCCTGGCCTGCACTCGATGCGCCCAAGCTAGCTCCCGCCCCGAGGCCAGGGAGGCCAGCGACGCAGATAACATCGTCACCCTTCTCCTCCTCCTCCTCCTCCTCCTCCTCCTCCTCCCTTTTCCCCTCCTTGTCCCTTCGCTTTCCATCTTTTCCCGTCTCTGTTTTCTACTCCTCCTCCTCATCCTGCGCCTTACCTTCCTACTTTCTCTCCATGGTAACTAAAGAAGTCACCGTTGCACCACCATGCGAGCCGGTAGGACGGGTCGTGCCTTTCTCTGCAGGCTTCCTGGCAATTGGTGATCCTGAAGCCTGGGAGTTTCAAGATTTGCACGGATGCAGGGCGGCAGCTTTTAAAATGTGGCTCTCGCGCTAGCGCGCACGGATGGAGGGCGCGTCGGTTGCAACTTTCGGCGCTCGGCTTGTGCTGCGTTAGTTACTTTTACAATGTTGTAGCAAACCCACGGGTGGTTGACAGTTCCTTTGTAAGGCCGAGTGCTCGTTTTGAGGCATCCTCATGGAAACTGGAAGCCGTAGCGAGCCAAGCAGCTAGCCGAGGAATAGGTGCCTGACCACCAGATTGGCACGACCATCGACGCGCTGGGCTTCCACCTCACGGGAGGCCTGCGACGGCGGACGGGGAGCAAGGCGCTGAAGCGCGGGCAGCTTGCCAAAGAGGTGGCTCTCAAAGCAGTACACCTACCCAGAGGCAAGGACGCCAGGAGAGCAATGGTCAACTCGGCAGCCAAGGTGGAGTTCGGGTGGTTCCAGCAGACTCCCACCAGGAACATGATCATAGAGATCCAGGGAGCCACCGACAAGACGGCCAGGGAGGCCAGAATGGGTGCCAAGCCGCTGCGGCTCCTCGTGCTCGGCCTCCGCGGCGATGTTCGATTCCGATGCAGCAGACCACTTTGGCGTCGCTCGCCCGCTCTGCCGCAAAGCGAGGGCCCACCTGGCACGCGCCGCTCAGCTGGACGGCCAAGCAGAGCAGCGCCGAGAGGATGCGGGAACAGCTGGCCTTGACAGGCTGGCAGTCGGTCCCGGACATGCCGTGGGAATGGTGGCACCCAGGGCTCGATCTTACGATCTCGCTCACGCTGGGCACGCAGCACTGGCGGCCTCCCAAGGCGCTGGCCCACGTCCTGCGCAAGGCCTGGCGCATGCAGATGTGGGAAGACTTCAAGCGCTTGCCAAGGCGTGACTCGAGGCAGCTTGCAGGAGTCAGGTACGACGCCAAGAGCCTGAAGGTAATCCACGCCATCGTGAAGAACCGGTCTGGCTCCAAGGTCCAGGTACTCACAGGCTCGATGGTGAGCCCGCTTTGTCGGGCGAAGATGAGGGATTCGGATACAGATCCGCACTGTCCCTGGTGTGGTGCCGAGCACGGCTCGCAGGACCGCGTCATCTGGGAGTGCCAGGCCGACGTCTTCCACGACCGGCCACAGGGGTACGGACCAGCCAATGCTCTACAGCGACGGCTGCTGTGGCCCACGGGCCGCCGCGTGAGGAGGGAGATCGACCGCAGCCTTCTGAGCTGGGCGGTCGAGGTGGACAACATCATCCTCAACCACAGGCACAATCTCCAGCGAGATGCCGCTTTCCTGCCCCGCTCATATACCCAAGCGCCTAAACGAGGTCATAGGAGTACTGACAGAGCAGAGGGAGCAGAGGTAACAGAGGTTGAGGGAGGAGGGGGTGGAGAAAGTGGAGGTTTGCGCGGAGGACGCAGCCCACTGCAATCCAGCGCCCACCCCGATGACGAGGTGGAGGTAGGTGGCGGAGGAGGCGGAGGAGGAGGTGGCCAGAGAGAGGGCTGCTCCCGGCCACGCCTCAATCGTCAGTGCTGCCCGGAGGCGGTAGAGGTAGAGGAAGGGAAAGGAGGAGGTGGAGGAGGAGGCCTGCATGGGCGTCGCCATCCCGGGCCCCGCGGCTGCTGCCGCATTCAGGAGGGAAACGAGAAGGTAGCGGGAGAGGGAGGAGGACCGAGGACGAAGAGCCGAAGGTATCCACCTTGCTGGCGCCGCAGCGCGAGGCCAGCCCAGTAGGATGTATTCACCCTGCCGCGTCATCCAGACGGCGCCGCAGGCCTACAGCTGATACTATTTGAGGCAAATCCTCATGAGCCACGTCGTAGATTGCGCAACTGCGCAGCAATTACGAGGATGTGGAGCGATTTCTTGTTCCAAGCATCTATTTCGTTGCTCTCTCTCTCTCTCTCTGTCTGTCTGCCTGGCTGGCTGGCTGGCTGGCTGACTGTCTATCTGCCTGCCTGCCTGCCTGCCTGCCTGCCTGTCTCACTATCTCTCTCTGGACGGTCTAATATGCTACGGTACATCGTTTCAGCACGTGCAATCTATCCACGGCCTGAGGGCGACTCATGTTCAACATGGGCATTGGTTGGATCAGTATCATACTCTTTGGCCCGTCAGTCCAACGTGCGCAGTGGTTTGAGGGAGGCTACTTCGCACAGTGTGGCTGTCGATTGAGGCTCCCCAGTTCCACTGTCGGGTGCAGGGCGGTTCCTTTCAAGTTTGGGCTTCAGCTTGGCACGTTAGCCATCTTCATAGCTGCACGGATGAAGGGCGGTCCATTTTTCAACAGGGGCTTCCGCCTGAATGGTACGGCGGGGTCGAGGGGCGCACGCCTTTCAAGGGGGAGCTATACTGTAGTAACAAGGGAAGCCTAACGGGACCCATGGGTTTATGATGAACGAGTTAGGGACGAGAGGTTGTATTGCAGCATCGGTGTTTTCCCTTCTCCCCCCCTGCCCCCTTGTTAGTCACCCCCTCCTTTCCTCCTGCCGCTTCTCCTCCTCATCTCTCCTCTCTTTTCCTCTCTGTCCTTCTCCATCCTCCTCCTCCTCCTCCTCCTCCTCCTCTCCCTTCTCCTCCTCCTCCTCCTCCTCCTCCTCCCGCTCCTCCTCCCGCTCCTCCTCCTCCTCCTCCTCCTCCTCCTCCTCCGCCTCCTCCTCCTCCTCCTCCGCCCCCCATCCCTTTCGCCCCCGTCTCGCCACCGCCAAGGTTCTTTTGTGTCGCTTTCTTCCTCCCCCTCTGCTGCCGAAACCATCTTTCTCTCCTCATCCCCTTTGCGGGGGTGCGAAGGTGATTGCGCTTCGCGCCTTGAGCCCTGGGCAGGATGGCCATGCGTCTCCAGGAGGCGACGGCGATGGCGCGAAGTTGGGCAACCCAGAAATATATTCTCCTCCCCCCTCCCCCCCTCTTTCTCCCCTTCCGCCTAATCCTCCCCCTCCTCCTCCTCCTCGCCCTTCCCCTTCCCCATTCACCCTCCCGCCCGCTTCTCCTCCTCCTCCTCCTCTCTTTCCCCTCTCCCTCCTCCTCCTCCTCCTCCTCCTTCTCCTTCTCATCCTCCTCCCCCCTCCTCCCCCTCCCCCTCTCCCTTCTCTCACTTCTCCCTCTCTGACTCCTCCTCCTCTTCCTCCTCCTCTTCCTCCTCCTCGTCCTCATCCTCCTCCCCCTCTCTCGTGTCGCTCTCGACGGGGTTACTCGCCAGAGTTCTTGAAATAGTCGATGACAAAGACATCAACTTCAAATAAACGAATGTCGGAAATGAGAGTGGCTCTTTTCCTCGTGGCTAGCGCCAGGGGCTGGTTCACCAGCCGAATCAAACTACAGTTCGATATGGAAACCGCGCACAGAA